TTCATAATGTCGCGGTACGGTAGGGAATTTTCTACGGTTTATAAGTTCGTAAACGTATCGGCTTTTATTTTTAAACTTATTATCAGGGTCGAGGGCTTTGGTTTACAAAGAAATCAGACAATTAGCTTTCTTTACACGACTTCAAAACGCTAGCGGGGCGCCCGATGTTCCACCAATGACAGCGATTCTCTCAGTAGCGTCGTGCGAAATACTCATTGTTTACTCAATTATCGCCCCATTCACAAGTTTTCAGAGACAATGCCGGCGGGAAAATAGACGCCACTAAGCCCCGAAATCAGGAAATTTTATCGAATTTTAGCGAAATTTTGTAGAAAAATCGGGATGCAACACCCTAGATTTGAAAATGAGTATGAGGGCGCTGAGCTAGGAGTATCAGGGCGCAGCGCCCTTGTTCCATCGTCTGGGGAGAACCCTGTTCTGTTATGGCATACATGTACACAATATCAAAATATTAAAACTTAAGGTTGGAAACTCCTAGACTAGCTCATTCTGTCAAGATGTCTCACCTTTCTCAGGTGTGAGTTTGGAGACGTCTAGTGTCTTGCTGACGACCTTGATGGCCAGCTGAAGGGCGTCCTGCATGGTCATCTCATCGATCTTGTATTCTTGCTTCAGCATGGATACAGCAGCCTGGGGGAAAGGGCAAAGGTCATGACATGTCAAAGGGCATCCTGAAGGGTCAAGGTTATGTCAGCATCAAGGCTGTAAATCAGCCCAAAGAGAAAGGGTAAAATAAAGTGGCCAATAGCAACATTATCACAAGATAGAAATTAGGATCATTCTTCTATTTTTGTGTATGATATTATCAATACAGCAATCTTTTTTTTTTATCAACAAATCCTCTGGAAAAACAAGAGAACATACTGCACTGTTGTTGCCTATACACGTAGCCTTCCAGCCTCCGTAGTTCCCACTGGGGTCAGACTGGTACAGCTGGAAGCCATAGTGCTTGTCCCAGCCGATATACAGGATGGACACACCAAAGGGACGCTTGCCTGGAATGACAAGAGGACAGGAGTTACACTTACAGGCATGTCACTCTCTCTCTCTCTCTCTCTCCGCTTAGGCCACATAGACTTAATTTTATGGATGACATCCTCTGAAGACCCCCAAACTAGTGTGCGTGGGCGAATAAAAAAAAAGTTCCGGCCAAAAATAAAAATGCTACTAAACCACAGGAATACAAAGCTAGTATTCTGAATTGACGGCAGTACATAGCGACGTATACAACAAGCTGGCACATGCTGCCTTTTTGCGGAATTTATGAATCGGCACTGTACGTATGTACTGAGTTCTTGAGTCGTGGAGCTTTGGCAGCCTGGGTGCCGTCCTCCAGAGTTACCACAGGCTCCGTATTGTCACTAACTACCATGGACTACCCAGGCCTAGAGCCAGGCCTAGAGCCTTGGAGGGAGGACGTAATCTTTTTTTTTTTGTTTGAGAACAGGCGAAAATCAATGCGCGCGCGGATGTCATCCATAAAATTAAGTCGGTGTGGCCTTACCAAGGCATCTAGCAATGAATAAATCTAATCAACGTACGGACAATATAACATAATTAACTAGGGTGTCAAAACCTCATGTCTTCAACCTCAAATGATGAAAACCTTTATGACTGACAAATACGTTTCACATTGATTATGGAAATAAGATCCTCACTTGTATTTATATCCTTTGATAATAATCTCTAGTAATCTCTACCCAATGTCAGTCTTACTTTTAACAAATAGGGCTATGCTAGCATTTCCTGATAGATTACGCAAATAAGGTTCTGATTTGAATAAGAAACAAGACTAGCAATGAAAACATACATTGCCATGGCGACAGTGGTTGCTGTTAGGGTTATTGTTTGCATGGCACTGCCATCATTTCATGATTTTGAGGTAGCCTTAAGTCAGTGCACTCCTCCCCAGAGTGTATAGTGAACGAGCCCCGGAGTCACAGAAAGTATGGCCATCTGGGGCAGAGAGGTCTTCCCAAGGGTTTCCAGGAATGTGGGCATAGATGTGGGTCAGAGGCATGCTTGTGGACATTCCATTCCTGTGGACAAAATGCCTGTACCATTCCTAGAATTTTTGCAAACTGCACACAATACTGTACTATTAGGCTCCTCCCTGAGACGTCGCCAAAAAAAGTGATTGATTGCTCCTTACCTCCCCACTGTGTGTAAGCCTGCTTGATGTCACACAGACTGCTGACCAGCTGTTCACAGGGAATTGGTTCCTGGTACTGTAGAATGTACCTGCAACACACCACAGGAATCATACCTAGTTCCTTATCTCTCAGGTTACTTTGACAAAATTGTCACCAGTATACAAAATACTTTTTTGAACCAGGTTGCCCAGTGGGCAACCTACAGCAAAAATTAAGTTGCCCATCAGAATTTTAGGTTGCCCCACCTATAAGTATAAGTTACTACTTTCCTTAAGTTAAGTAATGTTACATACATAAGCCTTTGACAATATTTCTAAGTCTTTAGTTACTTGATACTAGTAATAGCCATTAATACCTAAAATTAAAAAGCATCTGCCGGATACAGTGGTGCAAGTCAAGTGGGCAAAAATTCAGGTAGCACACTGGGCTACCTTGGTTAAAAAATAGGTTGCCCCAAGTAAAATTTGGTTGCCTGGGGCAACTGGGCAAACAGGTATTTTGCACGCTGTTCACTAACCAGAAAACAACTTACAAGTGTATGAAACAGCTTTCTTTAGGACACAGAAGATTACAAAACACCACACTGTCTTTCATCAGTGACTGAGAAACCTCCATAGACAAAACAGAAGATCATTTAGAGTCAATTCCGCGTCACCGTGTGGGTTTTTTCTCCATGTTTCTAATACGTTTGAATTATTTAAAAGAATACCCCGGTAACAAAAGTTCTAAATTTTTCAAAAATTTGAAAATGAAAATTTGAATATATTTGAATTCATTTATATATTTCTGAAACATTTTGAAAGTGACCGTACAAAGATCTCTTTATTTAGAATAAATTTGAACTACCCATGTGTTTCTTTCACTATTCGAAATATTTAGAAATATTTCAAACAAATAACCAAATGATAGATGTGGGTAATTGCCCCCATAAAAGTAGGTGCTAATCCTACTCTTCTGTATTCTTCTGTATATTTTTGCATTTTTCATGAAATTTCTTAGACAAACAATTACAAAGAATTCAAAACATTTCTAAATAATGACAATAACAACCCACACAGTGATGCGGAATTGACTCTATCTCTGACAAAACAGAAAAGTCTCAACAAAGTACATACAAGTTATCCTCTTCAGGACCATCCTTACCTCTGAGCTATGAGACGAAGCTCGTTTGTGAGGACGTTTGCATCAGATGTGATCCCTGCCACACTGCAGGCCATGTCACTGTTAACAGGATAAAACAATCTGATCTTACCCTCAGTTTCTTTCTTTCTTGAGTAGTGATGCATACCAGTTCACTGGACTTGGATCCGGACTTGTCAGAATGTTTAGGTTCGTCAAAAAAAAACTAAAAGTCAAGAACTGAGTCCGAACTTATTACCATAAAAGACCATTTCACATACCCCTTTTCTTTCCAAACCACATAAAACCTTCCATAGATTGCAAAATCTTTGCTGCAATATGAAGAAAACATTGCCATCGGGCATCGTCAAGTACCGGCCTCCAATTGTTATGTGGCCAAAGTTTCACCCAGACAACATTGCAAGGTTTCCAACATGCAATTTTGTATGCCTTGGGTTTAGGTCCGGACTTACAAGTCCGGAACTGACCTAAACCTCTGGACTTGAATCTGGACCTGAACCTTAAATTGGGTTTAGGTATGCATCACTATTCTTGAGTGTTCTTTTCCTTAGCCAGGGTCGCCCACTCAGTGATTAAACACTACTTTTCAGTGGGGCCCTGGAGAGTTATGTTTTGACAACTACTTTAAAGAAGAGTGTGTACCATCAAACATGATATGTTTAAATTCAGACAATATACACTGTATCAATTATCTATATTGTGTAATCCTACCCCTCTGTAGTTTGATAAGCACCAATTACTTCATTGATATACCAGTATTATAGTTTCACTTGCTACACAATCATGTATAAATTATATAGTAGTGATGCCAAGTGGAAAGAGATGCCAGTTTTCAATAGCAAAACTGTTCTTTGTTTGAGCGTGTAAATTTTACCTAAGGCCATACCAATTTAATTTCTTGGTTAACAGATTTTTCTAGAAAAATAATGGAGCAGGCAGGCGAAAAAAAAAAGAAATAAAAACAGACCTAGGCATCCTATTATGGCCCAAAATGGTAGGATAGGAGCCATAAAGTCAACACACCAGGCTGGTTCAAAATTTAAACAATGAATTTTGAACTTTTAATGATACCACGGCATTGAAAGATGGAATAGCTGTAACAACTATGCAGGATGAAAAGGACTGTTTTCAACTGTTCAGGGCAAAATAAGACCATTTTACAGTTGATTCTGAATTTTTATTTTTATTTGCAAATCAGAAAAAAATGAAGCGGGCAAATCCGTTAACCAAGAAATTGAATTGGTGTGGCCTAACCAAAAAACATCATGCTAACTTGGCAGGTAGGTTGCCTGTCCTACAAGCATGACTAGCACATGAAGGCAACCGACTGCAGTGAACTGAAGTGTCCTTACTCGTGGAGTTTATAAATCTTCTCCGAGAAGAAGACCTCGTCCAGTAGCTTGTGCGTGTTCCTGCGCTCGGCAGCCAGCACGATCCCGTCGTTCGCCAGGATGCCCAGACAGGTGCCGGCGTGACCTATGGCCTCCATGGCATATTCCACCTGGTACAGGCGGCCTGGGAAACAAATTAACATCTGCAGTTACAACAAAACCAACTTTTTTTTTCTTGACGTCTGTTTATTCAAATCATGGAAACAAGTACATATACATACACAAATACTTTTAACAAAAACTTTTACAGCCATATCCCCAAACTACACGGACCAATCACATTTGGAGACAAAAACTTAAAGATGATGTCTAAATCACTTAGACACAACAGGTCTTTAGACTGGCACAGATATTACAGATGAAGTTTCTTGACATTGTTGTAGAATGAAGCATAACTCTCTATGTACAATAAAGGTTTGTTTAATTCATAATCATACCCTATTAAAGGCATACATGTATAAATACTCATGTTAATCTTAAGGAGACATTCAGATATTTTCAGATTTCAGTAATGTGATGAACACCAGAAACCTCTGTCTTTCTTTGATATTCAACATGCTAGAATACATACATCACAGTCATACAATCTAAAAACATTGGTCAAAATCATAATGTTTAATGTATCTATCTACTTTGAAAACAAGAGCTCGATGACCTCATACCTTCGTCATGTATGAAATGTGCTGTTGTATATATTGTATATAATAGTATCACGGCTCGAAATACTGGGTGCATGTCACCTTAGTGCACCCAAAATTGGAGCTGTGCACCCAATTTCTTTCTGCACCCAAAGATTTTTGCGGGTATTTTTGTACATATTACATAAGGATATTTTTGGCATCTAAGTGTAGTACTCTCATCTGCCGAATAAACATACCCCCCGGAATAAACGTACCCCCCGGACAAATCTTCAAAATCAAATAAACATACCCCCGGAATAAACGTACCCCCCGGAAAATTACCAAAATTGACGGGTAACCTGTGTCTCTTGTACTAAAATACGCCCTTACTGATATATGCACAAATCTTTAACTGTTATTTGCAATTAGGAATTTAAATAGACAAAAAAAAAGAGCATTTAATATTTCGTATTTTGATAAGCACCACCCATGACAATAGAACATTCAGAGGAATTTATGCACGCGGTGATTGCAAAAACCGGCCCGAAAATGACAAGTTTCTCGCTACAATACGCGTTTATAAACGTCTTCACGTCGATGATTTGTCAATTTTTTTCACACGAAGTTGAAAAAAATTACTGTTTTTCAAAAAATTAATAAACGTACTGTGCAAAATAAGAACGTACTGGGTGGATGTTCGGGCCCAAAAAAATAAACGTACCCGTATGTTTATTCGGCAGATGAGAGTACATCTTTGTTGCAATACACTGTACTTATTTAAGATTTTAAAGTTAACTCCCATTTTAGATTCAAGCTTAGAAGAGGAGCAGTAAGATCTGTTTTATATGGTGTACCCAAAATATTTTCTGTGCACCTAATTTTTTAGGTTGGGTGCGAAGTGAGGAAAGTCGTGTTAAGTGCCTTTCCCAAGGGCACAAGATCGGTGGCATGTCAGGACTCGAACCCGGGACCTCTTGATTCCGAGTCGCGCACGCTGCCGTTGCGCCACACGACCCCACTACTGGTTTGGTGGTTTCATTGACTTGCACACTACTGGAAAGAGTTGCAGTCCTCAGGATGGGACGTTAAAGTAAGCCCTGGTCTACTGTTTATGCTCGCTTTGGGAACATATGTCCCGAGACAGAAGTCAACAACCTTATACTGTTCCCCCCCCCCGCCTCAATACCTTAGAAAGCCACTACAATACCCAAAATGTAACAACCTCCTTTTTTCAGAGTACATGCTTCCTAAAAAAACTGTAAAAAACATCCACAACATCAAAAGTTATCCCATCTAGTCATATTCCATAAAAATGACCAGAGCACCTTTAAAAAGGAGGCTTTTTCGTTGAAAACCATGCCAAATACTTACTGCTAATGCATCTATGTCCCACTCAAAAATCACGACCGTAGCATGTCCACAGCACGAGATATCATACCCATGTACCTACTGCAGTGCCTTACTAAACTGCTAGAGTGCCCAACATTGACCTTCACCTCTCTTGCACCACACCCCAAGTTATAACCGATTACAAAATCAGCAACCCCTATAACATATGATATGGTGAACCTAAACACATAACCTCCTGACAAAGGTAGTTAACAAATATACGTACCTTCTGGAGAGAAGATGGTTGTTCTTGTATCGTAACGTCGCGACTGAGGAAAATCAGAGAAAGGGCTCATTAAGGCATTGATATTCTAGTTGGCTCTTATTGTTTAATAACCAGAATTTTGAGATGTAAAATTAGTATTTCTATTTCACTTCAGTAATCTGGATAGTGAGTGATTTCTTATGAACACACAAGTAGTATACAGAATACATACAAAAATACATACAAAATACATAGTTCATAAGAAATTTTATTCCATTGAAATTAATGGCTGACGGAAGTTATAATAACTTCCATTTTAATTCAATTTATTAACTTAAGTTAACAGCTTTCAACAGCTTGTGTGTCAGAAGAAATTTTTAAATCCTGATTTTTCGAATAATCAAGTTTTTATGCAAAAGTTGCAAGATCTCTTTTATAAATTATATGTCGTTAACCAATGCCCGAAAAATAAAGTAATACTCTAGGCTAGCATAAAGACTAAGACTATCGAGGCCGCAGAACCCAGCTGCAGTTCCGTTGACCTCAGTAGAGGGCCGAATTAAAGTGGTCGTCACGATGTTAAAAAATGATAGCTTTGTTTTCAGTTACCGTATATTTCAACTAAGGTCTGTATAATTATATAACAGCAGTGAACGTTAATCTGACGAAACCTTAATCCGACACTTTTCAACACTCCTCTGTCTGTTAGTGTTAGGATCTAGCACTGATATACAAAATCTTTTAATTGCTTTACAAACTCAATAAGGTATACAGCATAAAAACTTGAAACAGTGAGCTAACGAAGTCAACATGTTGTGGAGACGAGGTCATGAAATTTTCAGCTTGTTTTTATACTGGTAGGCATGTCGTGGGAGAAAGCTTTCGGAAGGACAGTGGTCAAAATGCCGACGACAATTTCTCCTTTAAATCCTCACGCTACACATTCAACGTCACAGCGAATAAAAAAGAATTGATAAAGTGCCTGTTGCTGACAAACCACTTGCCTAGAAGTGTCCTTCTTTTTTAGCACATAGCAAGTTCGTTACGGTCATTCAGCGGCTGATCGAACAAAACCGCCATTTTGGAACAAAACCGCTTGTTGTTGTTGAAGACGATACCACTAGTCTGTACATGGATGTGGCAAATGATCGCAACACATGTATATGAAATCATCGCCAAAATTAGTGATGGAGAATAAAGCTTTTCGTCAGGTAACATTATCGTAAAATTCTTCAATTATTCCTTTCTTGGAACTAAAATGCCCCGCCGCAACTGATCCAAATGTGGTCCCCTTCTTTGATAGTCCCAAGCCACGTGATCTGATGTAGCGCTGCCGTTGGTGCACCGGCCTACCGACTGTGACATTTGATGACGATGATAACTAGTGTAAGTTTAACATTTAGGGATTGAGAAAAATGTTTTTGTGAATAGCAAAATTGCAGGCAAACAGCTACACTGTTGCATGGTGCCAGATTAAGCTTTCGCTTAGAATAGAATACGCTGGGCACAGTGAAAATTATCGGGAGCGATGTTGAAGACACAATTTTCCCGCGATATCTCAATGGTTGGGAGAGTGACACACACTACCCTGAATCCAAACTCGCTGTCCGGGCCTCAAAAGCCCTTCGCCCGCTGGTGTAAATTACCGCTACGGGGGAGTCTAGCCGGGGGGAGTTTGGCTGGCCAGCCAACTCCCCTCGGGCTCAACTCCCCCGTAGCGGTAATTTAGGCAGGCGGGCGAAGGGCTCTCGGCTGCCGAAGGAAAACGGCTAACGGCCCGATACTAGTTTGGCATCCAAGGTAGACACACACGTAAGTATGGCGTTAAAAACAGGCTACAAGATGCACTAAATGATTAACGAAAATACCGAATGTCTGGTTGTGGATTCATCATTCAATCTTGCCTGTGCATCAAAGTGTCGGATTATGGTTCACTGCTGTTAAATTAATGTCCTTGTTTCAACATATTTAGTTGGCCGTGTTCTCTAGTGCACCTTACTATAATTTTTACCGCGTTGAAGTGAGTCACCTCGGGGTGCTTAACTATAGGAATCTAAATTATAGAAATCCCCATAGGGCGAAAACTGTGTTCTGCCACCTTGACTAAGACTAGCTTTATAGGCTAAAACACTAAATCTGATCATGGACTTAAAATCAACCTCCTTGATCTGATCATGGAGGTAAAATTATTATCTGATATACTAGTACTAATACGTTGTGGGGAGGGGGGGAACACATGACATGCATGTTTTTACTACACCTCTTTCCCCATCTATTAATCAATTCGTGACAAACATTTTGCCCAGCCTATTAGATAAGTCCACAAACTGCAAGGTTACATCGTGGATCTGTCAAAAAAACCTTCCCAACATTACGGTAATTACTAAAATATGAAGTTTGCAGAAAGTGAAATTTCATGCTACCCACCATGTTGATATCCCAGGATACACCACGCAGCTTATAGGTCGAGTGCGCATGCGTCAAAGGAGGCGGTAACTTGGGTCTGAACCATCGGGTCTGGGGGTGGAAAATTAAAATAATATAATATATTACGTTCTGTCAATACATTTTTGTACTTAGTTACTTGATATATTTTATACAAAGCATTAAAATTATATTTATAATACTTATAAGCATATATATGAGTGATATAGGAAGTGAATACAAGCCCTCCCCATCCGGTACTTGGTATGGCCTAATTAGAGTGCCGCTATTCAAACAAACCAAAGGTTCGGCTGCTAAGACCAGCTGTGACAAGGTAAAGTTTACGTGTTTGCTTTAGAAAACTTCTGCAGCAAAGTCACACCGAACAGCGAGTGGTCGGATCAAACTCATCCTATCGCTGTCCGAGGATGACAGCCCGGAGGGTCCGTGTCGGTGAGGTTGCCGGGGTGCTGGCGGTGTTGTTGGCGGCAGCCTGTGCGCCCCTGCCCCGGGGGACGGCCGCAGCTGTGCCGCGGAGTGTCGTAAGTGTCGTCATGGCGGATATATATTTTTTTGGGCGTGTATCGATCGTCACGTACGTTTTACTTTTCCCCAGAAAGGGCAGCTAGCATCAAATAGTATATAATCCTATAATCCCAAGTCTACCTCTGCTTGCCAAGTCCACTCCTTGGTCCAACCGGACTTTTCATTCATCAGGCAGGAGATCAGATTTCACAATAACACGTGTTACTAGTAAATAATTAGGGGCAGGCAAAAACTCCACAGATTGTTTCCAACGAGTATTTCCGGAAATTCGCTATCTGGCCAGCTTACATCTTGGTTTACACACTAACACAGGGCTAAAAAAAGAAAGAAAAGAATCGTTTGTCCCACGACGGAAGCGGGGCGTCGCGCAGCCCGTGTTGAGCCTGCTGTGTTGAGCGTGTAAACAGGTCTCCACCGCCGCCCTGCGAGTTTTGTGTGACACATCCTGGATCGGCGATCGTCAATAGAGCACATGATTTTTTTGCGGCGTGTAAATTGGCCCTTATTACTTACTCCAACTGTCAACTACACTAATTCATCATTTTGCACTATGTTCAATGGAAACTAGAGCAGTTCACTGTTTTATAATAATAATAATAGCAGTGATCTGTTTTCCACAAGCTCCTCACCCCTCAGAAGGCTTTATATATAAAATTTATATCATATCATCATGAAAGCACCTTGATGAAACCAATGATTTTAAACACAGCATTTTAAACACAACATAATTAAATTTTAATCATCTCCTACCCACTACCACGATCGAAGAAATGAACAAGGTACATGTCGGTAAGTCACAAAGTAAACACATGTATGTAAACATCCTGAATTTACTTACGGGGAATACATACACTGTATTGGTTTTGTCAGATTGTACGTGAGCCCGTTATAAATGTTCTTACTCTTAGGTTTCCTGTGTGAAAAGAATTGTAGTTAAGTTACTAGAAAGGCCGACATTTGCTTTCGAGCAAATTCAGCATGACTTCACCACATTTCACAACATGGCAGGGAAAGAAGGAGAAATACAAGGGAAAACAATTCTTTACATTGATATAACTATAGTATGAAGTGACAACAGTTGGATAGCTATGCCTTACATTATTGGTTGGGATTATATAAATTGCATGATGCAAACTGTTGATTTTCAAGATAAAAAGAATTGTTTCATTATCTGTATAGCCGGTATAACCGCCTTTCGGCATTCCAATGCTGGAGCAGGAAAACTTGACATACCTACCAAAACACTTGAATAAAGTTCATACTGTCAATATGGCATGGCTTTGTACAGGTGTTAATTGAGTTAAACCAATCAAATCTGAACAGCCAATCAGCAAGGAGAATGGAGGAAAGCTGCATGCCTATTGGTTGCCTGCTCTTCATTCCATTCTGATGACTCATGCCCAAATATGGTAACACACTGCTATAGTACATTTTCTATAACACAGCCAAAAAGCTCAAATAAAACCATTCTAAAAGTCTGTATCACAAAAATGAAAAAAAAAAAATGCCTGGGGGTATTTGCCCACTGTACCTTCATGCCAAATTTCATGTTATTTGGCCCAAAAATGAAGGAGTTAAATCAATTTAAAGAAATGGCAGGAGAAGGAGAAGAAGAAACGTGAGCAAAAACAAATGATTTGATTACCATGACTGGGGAATGCCTATCTTTAGATTTGGAAACATACATGTACTACACTGTAGTATATGTGAAAATACAAAACCTGGTACTGTCTATTTTCAATAAATTATGTTTTTAATATATATTTCATGTCTAAAACACAGAGTATTCCTAAGGTCGAATGAACATTATTTAGTTTTTAAATAAAAGATAAGAAGATATTCTTTAAGCACATAGTTGCTACGTACATGTTGATCTGTATCAAGTGCTCAAAAATTTCTGAATTTGTAACATTAGAGAATGAATTAATAAATGAATCTTAAATCAAACAGGACCCTGTAGTGAATGTGGCACGAGGCAAGCCTGTGCAAGCGAATGTGACTTGTGGCAGTCCTTTGGAGGATTTCTACCCTCACAGTGACTCTGTAAAACCTCCACCCGACAGACAACTACAGATCTGCGATGCAAGGTACTGCAAACTCACTTATTACTACATAATAGAAGTTTTACATAAGTATAAAATGGTATTTGCTACTATTGGCAGTAGTGCTGCATACCGGTTCACTGGACTTGGATCCGGACTTGTAAGAATGTTTAGGTTCAAGTCCAAAAAAACCTAAAACTCAAGAACCGAGTCTGGACTTATTACCATAAAAGATCATTTCATATATACCCCTTTTCTTTCCAAACCACCTAAAACCTTCCGCAGATTGCAAAATCTTTGCTGCAAAATGAAGAAAACATTGCCATTGGGCATCGTCAAGTACCGGCCTCCATGTTATGTGGCCAAAGTTTCACCCAGACAACATTGCAAGGTTGCCAACATGCAATTTTGTATATGCCATGGGTTCAGGTCCGGACTTGTATTTTAAGTTGTAAGTCCGGAACTGAACCTAAACCTCTGGACTTGAATCCGGACCTGAACCTAAAATTGGGTTTAGGTATGCATCACTAATTGGCTGTACCATCATATTGGCCGGTACAATGCTCTGGACATTTCAATTTTTAAACTGCATAAACAACATTATATACCCCTGTCCACTGTCCTTAAGATAATTAGAAATCTTCCTACTAGTATACTGTACTACCGTAGTACATGACTTATCCTCTTCATCCCTTGCGACATGAGGCCAAGACTTTCACTAAGGCCATGTTGATTTGATTATCATGGATGACATCCTCTGGGAACCCCAAAACTGACTTAAGGCCACAGCAAGTAATTTTTATGGATGACATCAGCGCGCGCATTAATTTTCGCCTGATTTTGGAAAAAAAAAAAGAAATTTTGTTGCCTTCTGACAGTGGTCACCATGCCGAAAAGATTTCTGTTGCCATGCCGGAAGGTGGATATATATAGATGGCAAAGAGGAGACAAGAAAAGGCTCTGATGTTTGTTTCTTACTTTGATGCAGTGATGTGTGATGTTGGCTGTGTATATGTGATGTTCCCACTGAATCAAAACCATTTGTATGATGATTGAGTTAAAATTTTAAAATGTTAGAAACTTGTTTTTTTTCGACCCGCCTTGTTTTTTTTTTCGCCCGCTCGCATTAGATTCGGAGTCTGCGGAGGATGTCATCCATAAAATTTACTTGCTGTGGCCTAAGCGTGAATTTTTTAACAATAGTGGGAGCCGCTTGCGGGTACTTTGTATTTAAATCAAGGGGTGATCTGCATATAGGTGTCAACTGTTTTTTCACAGGTGAGTTGAATAGGGAGTAATTCTGAGCTAGGTCCTTCTGTATACGACATGTATTCGCTCATTACACTCACTAAATTACAGTATGGTGAAAAACTTTTTTTGGAAACGGAGGAAACTTCATGCGCGTGCGGATGTCATCCATATAATGAAATCAACATGGCCTATAATGTATTGATATTTACCGGTACTTTGGTTGATGGTAGGTAAGAACAGTTACATTTAACTGTCTGATGTCATTTTTTACAGCGATCCTATTCTGGCCCACAATGCGTCGCTGATGGTTGATGGCAACAGCTCCACCTGGTGGCAAAGCACATCACTGCAGCAGCTGGTGTTAGCTGGGAATGGCATAGGCAATCGCCCAGAGGTCTACATAACCCTGGATTTGGGAGAGGTATGGTCAACTAGAAATAAAACAACTCAAAGAGCCAAATCTTCCAAGGATTTGAATATTGGTGTTTTGTGAGATACAGTAATCTCCAAGCAGATCTTTTGGTGGCTAAAAAGATAGTATCCAACACGCGGACAGTATCCAGCCGGCCGACAGTATCCAATTGGTGGGGATCAGGACAAAAAAAACGGCCATATATAAAAAGGTAACGATCATTCCCCACAACCTCTGCTTGGAGAGTAAGATACAGTATTTTCACACAGATTTTGAGAGGGTGTTCTGACCATCCAGCTGTGGTTATAAATTTATAGCAGGTTACAAGAAAAAATCTAGCTAACAAAAGCCCAGAGGAAGAGAGGTCATGTGTTAGATGGTTGTTGTGATGAAGCAAGGGGCACAAGCTGGTGGTTCCCAGAGCTCTTGAAACTGCATGTCAAAATATAAAGCGGGTTTGCCTGTAGCCAGCCCCAAGACAGACCATGCAAGTTTTATATTTGAAATAGATCACTCTGTTCCTCCTCTAGTACTAGTACCAGAAATCAGGTTGTTTCACATATGGCTCACCTTGTTCTCATTGAAACAGAATACCTGTCACAGAGGTTACAACATCTCACTTTGTTTTTTGTTTTCTCCAAAAAGATCTACAGTTTTTAGCTTCATCTTTTAGGAGCAAGGGAGCATAAGTATTGACTTTTAAAAACTGGGCAACTTTCTTATACCAGGAGAAGTTTACTATTGATATGGAAAGTAGCAAACAATGGTTACGGAGGTTATAGTTATGACTGTAAAACATTTTGTTCAGCAAGTGTGGCTACAAATGACAACGAACAGTGAACACTCCTTAATGTCTTCCTTTACAAACCCAGAAAACGTACAAAATGTTGTGAAAAGGACAATTTCTTGTCTTATATGCGGCTCTATATAAACTTGAGTGGTTACGGGTTTATAGAAATCTGTGGTAACGGAGGTTACAGGACTCATCAAACCCGCGGCTATAATTTCAATCAAACCTAGTGTTGTAGTTTTTTGTGAAACATAGTATTAGTAAGTGTAGTGGGAAACCTAATATTTTTGGGTACACGGGTGCACCCACATAAAATAATTGCGTGCACAGCTCCAAATTTGGGTGCACTAAGGTGCACATGCACCCAGTATTTCCAGCTCTGTGTCATGATGTCCAAGGTCATCAGTTCCCATGACGATGACCTTTCACCTGTTCTCTGACCTCTTCAGACATATCACCCTGAGAACATCACCATCCACATGGGCGACACCAAACGGCCAGGACGGCTGGCCCTGCTCAGGTCAACTGACGGCCTGACGTTCCAGCCCTGGCTGTACCTGGTATCCAATGGCAACAGGGACTGTCGGAGGTTTGGGGTTGGCGAGCAGTCGGAGCCGACCAGTCCGGAGTCTGTGGTGTGCAGGGAGTACACACGGCTGGGAGTGGAGCCTCTGTACAATGAACGGGTCGGGATGAGTTCTCCACATTAACCATTAGAGTAGAGTAGAGTAGACTTTTTGTCTCGGTAGGAAGTTCTCTTCCACTGTGAGCTGCTCCTTGTAGTTTACTGCGTAGACATGGTCATCTTGTAGGGGTTGTCCAATGCCCGGGGGTTGTGCACCACTGGGTGGCTTCTCATGTGTTTGTCCAGTCTGTTTTTAGAACTGTTCACTGTTACCACCTCCTCAGGTAGACTGTTCCACCATTTTACGACCCTGTTGCTGTAGAAAAACAGTCTTTTGTTGTTGTTCACTGATCTTTGTTGGTGTACTGTTTGTGCATCTAACAGACTGCAGTACTTTTTACCAGAGCTGGATGTTGCTTCAAGATAGTTAACATTTGTATTACATTGTACAACTAGCAAATTACCTCAAAAGTCATTCAAAATATACAAATGTATATGGTAGCAAATTCCATCCTTTATGCTACCATATATATTTTGAATGCCTTTTGAGGTAATTTGCTGGCTGTACTTGTAATACGTTGTATTCATTCAATTAAACCATCCATACAAGCTGCCCTTCTTGAATAAACAGATCACAGTGTCCCTGGTGGAGGTTCCCCCCAGTTTCAGTGATGAGGACCTCCTCAGCTGGCAGGCTGTGCGACATCTACAGCTGCGTTTCTATGACATGGACCTGGTGCTGGGGATATTTGAGGACCAATTTGTGAGTGTAGTACTGTACACTGGGCATTTTTGTAGCCTGGTTACCAAACCTATTATAGCTCCCGAGTCCTACATCCTCTCCACAAATGTAGGACTCGGGAGCTATAATAGGTTTGGTAACCAGGCTACATTTTAGGTCATGTTTCAATGATCATCCTTTGCAACTTTATAGCTTCCTGAGCTGGGATATTGTAAGGAATCGTTCATTGATTGGCTTTTTGGATTGTAATGAAAAGAATGTTCTGACCTGCATTACTAAGGAAGAATACACATGTACACCCTGTAGTTGATAGCTTGTAGTAGGTCTAAGTAAGACAAGTTGATGGCTAATGGCTAAGAAGAGCTAATTCTCTAACAAGTGCTTTCTGCTTTCATGTTTCCAAATTGAAAAAGCTTGATCTGAAATCTTTTAAAGGCATCCAGTGCGATTTCAGAGCGGCAAAACTGGAAATGTTCTGAATAAGGCAACCTTTGTGATATTGACACATACAGCTTCACATTAGCACATTTTAATCAGTATTTCATACTTTGGGCTTTTAAATCTGCAGAAAGAAGCCCCAAGATGAGTCCTTTATTTTCTGGGTGGTACCCTAAAAATCAGCCAAGGGCCAATCCAGTAACCATTTTCCGTCAGAATTTTGGGTATTTTTGTTCGATGAGGGTCAATATACATTGGGGTAGTTTGGTTTAACTCAGTATGTAGATAAGTGACAAGAATATTGACTTTGAAAAATCGGGTTTCCAAGCCCTAAAAACTGCACTGGATGCCTTTAAGATTAGGGCTGGGCAAGAAATATCATTTTTTGTTTGTAAATTTTCTCTGTCTCTTCCCAGCACCACTATGCAGTGTCTGAGGTCTGTGTGATGGCTGGCTGTGAGTGTAATGGATTTGGAAATGGCTGTGAGATTAACAATGACTTGGGCCAGTACGAGTGCATCTGTAGTGGCTATACCCAGGGTGCACACTGTGAGGAGTGCCAGCCTCTGTATAACCAGTTCCCCTACAAGCCTGACCAGCCTTGCCAAGGTACCGTATAATGTGATCATAACAAGTAAATTTTATGGATGACGTCCTTTGGAGACCCTAAATTTAATGCGAGAGGGTGAGAAAAAAACAAGAAGGGCCCTAAAAAACAAGATGCCTAGATTAGAAATATACTAAGAGACGACAAATGTTAGGACACAAATTGAATGAGGTGACACAGTGTAACAAGCAAGAAGTCTTTTATTCATCATCAAAACAGCAATAAATCAAGTGGAACAGCAGTTGTCGTCCTGTCCTGTTTTTGCGTTACGGGTTTCACGTCAATCTGACAATTATACCTGCACACTCCCTATTTGGGTATATCATTTACCTTATGCAGTATTTCCTATGCTTATCGCTAGGTGGCGCACGTGTACAAAGCTCTAATCGCAAAGCATCACGGGATATCATGACGTAATGACATTGTTCGCCGCCATTTTCCTTGTGCGTTCGCAGAGGGGTGCACGTTCGTTTCCCTACTCCTTATTTTTTCGGATTTTCTTTCGGCGTTAGGCCCAAAAAGAAGGATAAAACGAAGTCTTCTGCCCACGAGGGCGATTCAGGTAGCCTTTCGGAGGACCAGACGGGTCGTAACGGCAAGAGAAGCGGCCTGTTTCCCAACGCTAGTCAGGAAAAATTCCTGGCCGTGGAAAACACAGGCGTGTCTGCACAAGCCTCCGGACAGGAGGAAGAGGAGTCGGGTGAACGAAAAGTCCCCGCTCCTACAGCTGGAGGTTCGGAGGAAAAAGAGAAGAACTCCAACCTCATTCCGCCGTTTGGGAGCGAAATGCCCCTTCGGCGTTGGCACCGGGAACATCCGCCGCTTGGGAGCGAAATGCCCCTTTGGCGTTGGCACCGGGAACATCGGTCAAGGAAGGAGACGGCGCGGAGCTGCCGCCGCCCCGGCCTAAATTTCCTCCGGACTCGGAGGAGTTGGGCTCCCCGACCGTGCCGAAGCTTGGTGGGGAATAGTCTCCTCCACCCCCACCTCCATCAGAAACACCCTTCCCGCCTGGATTCGACGCTGCCTCTTTTCTTCAGTGGATCAGTTCCAGCTTGGGACTTCCTCAGGCGTCCAGTTCATCCCGTCAACCTCGGGACGTTGACGGGGCGGTAGCGTCGACCAGCCGAGCCGGTGTAGTCTTTTCCGGGCGAGAGCATCCAGGTTCTGAAGTGGAAGAGTGTTCGGAGGAAGGAAAAAATACACCTTTTTCTGACTCTGACGAAGGTAACTCCTTGTCGTTTGTATAATCCCTACGATAATAACTTCAAATAAGTATTTGGAGGAACCGGTGGGAAAATCGGTCTTGAAGACATGTTTCATATCTTGTTTCATGTCCTTGCCACACATTTCACGTCTATACTGAGTCATAGTAGAGGAAGCTGATCCCAAAAAACACCAAAGACGATTCTATCGCTTTGCAAACAGCATCCGGTTAGAGGATGGTCCGAACCCTTAACTGCTGCC